CGACGCGGCGTCACCCGGACAGCCTAGAAGTAATGGACTCGAGCCGCGGAAGCCTACGTGTATATTTTTTACAAAGTTTGAACCATATTCGTGTGGTAACATCTTATTATAATACACAATTTTCAAATCTTGTATTGTAATTAGATGCTTTCCGACACTAATATCGTAAATAATTATTAAACATACTTTTAAAGCTTTACATGTATTCAATTTTAAATTTCAGATACCTGATGATGGGCGCTACAGACGCCCGAAAAATTGTGTAAATTGTTATTTCTAATAGTGATATACTTTGCTTTGTTACGTGTTAATTCTTATTTGACATTTAATGACTGTTGTGAAAATAAGAACCGAATTTCTATTTACAAAGGTGATAATGTACCTGAATAGTATTCAATAGTATAATTTAAACCCGCCCGTTAGCCTGTTGTAAGCGTGTTCTGTCTGCGGCAGGCGGCGCGGGCGCGGGGTCCGCGTGCGGGGGCGGCGCGGTGGGGTTGCTGGCGCTGCGGCTGACGCGCAGCCACCGCACGGCGCTGCTGGTGCTGGGCTTGGTGCTGGGCGCCGCCGCCATTGCCGCGCTCGTCGCCACCGTCGCCTACAACGCCACGCGTGAGTACTACCCTCCTCCCGTCTTACTCGGCGGCCGACTAAATGTCTACAGAGTATTTTATAATGCAGTAAGCCTACTCAATGTCTAACAGATATCGGAAGTCGATTAAACTGGATCCAGAAATACCTCAAGGAGCACAAGAACCTCTCCGAGGCGAATTTGGAGACTCTGGAAATCCACCCAGTGCTGCCACCCCTGCAACCCGAGCCCACCCGCAACGAACGCGGGGCCACGTCGCCTACCTCGCTGGGGGCCAGCGTCGCCACCGCACTCCCCGCCTCCCACTCGAAGGGCCACAAACGCCGCAAGGGTTTGTTGCTCCTGGAGGACGTCCTTGCCTCCACGTCGGCCCCCGCGACCCCCCGGAGGCGTGGCGGCTCCCCGCCCTCGCCGCCGGGCATCCTCGACGTCCTCTCCGCGCACAGCCGCCCGCCGTCTCTGCTCAAGACCATGCTCAACTCGCTCAACGAAGACGACGGGGTCGGCAACACCTCGGGGGAAGACCCGTCGTCCTACAGCTCCTCGCCCCTTCTTCCCTCGACGTCCTCGGAGCCGCGGCTGCCGTCCGGCGCGCCGCCACCCCTGCTCGACCCGCTCAACCAAGTGGACGAGCAGGAGCCCGCTCCTCAGCCTCCGCCTCCGCCGCCCGCTCGACCTCCGCCCGCGCAGTGGCACGCGCGAACCCGCCGACGCGCGGACGCCACGCGGCTGGCCGCTCCAAACGCGCTCGACGTCCACGTGATGGAAGGCGGCGGCGCGCCAAGAGGGGGTGAGGCCGCCTGCGCCGAGCACGAGGCGCTCAACCGGCTGCTGGGGTGCCTCAAGGAGACGGAGCACGCGCTGCTGGTACGTACTTGCTTGCGGGCGATTGACGTTGTGCAAGAGCAGCGAATTCAGGAACAATGGACATTCAGGAACGCTTTATGAACTTTGATGGATCGATCATCCATCTTTGGTTGATCGAACTGTTGTAGAGTTTCGGTCATACCAAATAAAAGAATCTGTCATAATGAAAGAAAATGTGTTAGAAAAAGATTTACAAAAAGAATTAACTTGAGTAGACACGAAGTACGAATGACCCAAAATATGTGTTGAAATTATCGGGTATAGTAATAATGAAAATGTTTTTGACTACATTACGAACACAAAGACGTACAAAAATAATTGATGTATTTGGTTCACATACTGTCAGTTCAAAATTTATGGACCAAACATCTATAAATTAAAGCTCTCTTGAAACTATTCTTTTCGTACTTTATTGGCTTCTCCCTTGTACTATCTTAGATTGAGATAGTACACAATATCTCAGTCATTATTTCAATTTTGTGAGTATGATGATAAATATATATTAGAGTTTACTTCCATGATTTTGGATATGCCACAATCTGATTCACTGCGTCATTCAAGGATTGCAATACAATCCTTTTAGTTACATTTCTGTTAATGTGTACATCGCATTTGTGATATCAGTGATCGCAGTTGAATTTTTTAAATGAGTATCATCACAGAAGGAAATGCAAGAAGCTCTTCGTCTGTGCATCGCGTGTTGCGCGCGCAGGGCATGTCGGAGGCATCGCACCTGTCGGCGGCGGCGGGGCGCCAGCTGCGGCAGGCGCTGCATGGGCTGGACCAGGCTGCGCACGACCTGCGCCTGCGCGCGCAGCAGCCCCGCGTGGCGCGCAGCCCCTCCGCCGCGCCCGCGCCCGCGGCCGTCTGCGGGGACATCCTCGACTCCATCCACCGCAGGGTCAGCAACATCAAGTACCAGGTACACCACACTCTATTCACGCGCTGATGTATTTACTACTCTATCAGTTTTCATTTATTCATCATCAGTCAGTTCACGTTTCAGGTTCTCCGTACCTTAATCATTCATTGGTTCATTTACTATTTAATCAGTTTTTTTTCATTAATTCTTCATCAGACACATGAAGTTCCAGATGCTCCCTACTCTATTCATTCATTGGTTTATTTACTTTTGTATGTTATCTTCATTTATTCATCGTCAGTGACGTCAAGTTTCAGGTACTTCATACTGGATTCAGTAGTTCATTGACTTATTTATTTAATCAGTGGCAATGATTGTGTATTTGCAATGAAAACAATATCTATACTTGCTCATAAACAATGCACTACCGGCAAAGATGGTTCAGGTCATTAACTGATGTTACTGTCATGTGCCTCTGAGCGGGAGGTCATGGGATGGAGCCCTGACGGTGGCAGGATTTTCCGTATTAGCAACACAGTCAGGCACTGTCTGGAGGAGAGTTCTAGCAACCGGCTGCTCTAATTGGTAGTTATTCTGGTTTCTTCGATCAACACCAGGCGAATGTCTGAGCAGCACCCTAACAAACGGACCACGGACCGGGAGCAATATTTCCTTTCTCTTCCTTGTCCTATCCCCATACCCTTATTACACACACACACACATACACGTACTTTCACTACATTGCCACACATGCCTGGAGATCAGTCGGGAGCTTAGACCTTGTCCCGACTGAGACGTTTCCTCGCTCATGGGGTACCTGGTTATGGGAAAAACCTGCAAACTGACGCGTAGATAGGCGCCGGATATCGCTATCTGGTGAGCGAAGATCACCGCCATCTCTCTCTCTCTCTCTCTCTCTCTCTCTCTCTCTCTCTCTCTCTCTCTCTCAAACATGTACTACACATACGAGACTAATGACCGTAGCAGCCGACGCGCCCGGAGACACTAATGAATCAAACAAATGTTTGACTCGTATTGACTTTCTTGTCTCTTTGCCCGTTTACATTTACTTCACGACCGGAACTTGAGGATTCATTGCTTGCTGCTTAGGTTTTGGATCTGACGGAGATGCTTGAGAAGTTCGGCCTGCCGCCCGCTCAAGCGCTGACGCAAGAGATAGACCAAGCCGCTGCGGCAGCAAATCAGATCGTACAAGCAGACGCCGTTCCCGCTGCAACCTCCACTCACGAGCCCTCAACTACCCTTCAGCCCTCCACCTCCCCTCCGACCTCAACAACCCATACGACCTCACCTACACACCCATCCTCTCAACAATCAGCGCAAAGCTTTCGTAGGATGGAGGAGGACGATGCGGAGGTGGAGCAGCAGGTAATCCTTGGCAGCTCCCCCTCGAAGAGCGACACCAACACGTTCGTCAGCAACGTCATCAAGGGAATCACATCGATTCCTGACAAAGTTGTGGCGGCGGTGGATAAGGTTGCTGGTGAAATCAAGGGACACATTGCATCAGCTCAGTCACATATAAGTGAGAAACCTGTTAAGACACCGGCAGCTTTTCGCGCGGCTGAGGAGTCTACGACTACTCCGTCTGCAATTGAGGTAAATATTGTTAATGTTAAGATTTAACTGTTTCCCCGCATGCTTACGTGAGAAATGTCGAGGGAAACGTTTATCACCCACAATTAGTTAATCCTAAAATAAATATTTTTGCTTTCTTCTCAAGAAAAAGATTAAATGAGCTTACTCAGATATTTGACTATTTACATTATGATAGGTTAATTTCGAAAGATTGTGGACTCATATTCAGTCATGTTCGGTATTTTTAATACACTAAGGAAATTCTACGTTTTTTACTAAAGTTTTCGAACATGTTTTACCATATTTTTAAGCAAGGTTATTATTAACAAAGGAATATTATGAATGAGGATTAATTGGAAATGAAGACATAGGGCGTTTGTGATAAATTCTTTAATTTAACATTTTATTATTGTCCTTAATAAATGTAACTTAAAACCAACAGACACAACTGTAACGTTAAAAGAACTCTCTCAGCTATCTCAAATTTATCACAGATTTGCTGTCCGTTCATAATTTGCGTCGTAGTAGACATAAAGGTTTTTAATAATCTTAATTATGTTTGCACTGAAACCTATCAAGAATAATGTTTGCGAAAGTAAATTATAGTTGATTAAATCAAATGCTCTTAAGGAATCAACGGAAAGACCGTAAACTTTCGTATCTTTTAATTTCAGTTTATAAATACTGTATAAAGCACATTAATTAACCTAGGAACTTTTCTGTTGGAATCAACAAAGGACATCGATGAAGAATATTCCACGCCAGCGACCACTTCAGAAAGGAACATCGCTGTAACGTCAACAACAGATCTATACCAACTCTTGCAGCACGTCGAACAAGTGTTCAAGGATTCTTTCGAATTCCGAAATTCGACAACTGCCTTACTCGACCAAGACACAATTGATAATTTGACACGCATTGACATGGTTAGTAAAGAAAATTACGACTAATAATTGTCTTTTTATACATATAAATGTAAGGTTTTACATTTTGTTTGTTCTCATTCTTTGACTTCACATCAGCTTTTTAAGCATTATCGTATTTCTACGAGTTAAATTTATTAACTCGTATTTATTAAGTTGAATAAGTACACCTATATTTCCTGTCTGTAAAAATGTGTTAAATCCTTATTTTTTCGTGTAGGTATATTACAGGTACCATAAAACACGTGTCCCTTAAAATTGTAATGTATGATTATAAGTAACATTAATTAATGTATAATTAAAAATAAATAAATGAGTTACAATCGAATTCATAACTTTAGGAACTGTACCTGTCGTAGCGAGAAAATAATCTAATACCATTATATAAAACAATAAATGCAGAAGTGTAATATAATATTGTTCTACGAATAATAAATATATATTCCGTGTGTATAGTCTATTGTTAGCAGCTTTGTGACCCAGAATCCAAACCTACGAACCAGCTCAGAGGATCAAGTTACAGAAGGGACGAAGTTATCATCTCTTCTCAAAGTCCCAGAACTCACCGTTTGGCAGGTAAATAAAAACGTTAAGATAATAATTGATTTTCTGACATATGAGTGTAAAGAAAGCGCCTAAACAATTTAGCCGATTTTTTCCAAAATGGATATTCCCCGATCGATCAAAACAGGGGCTTGGGGAGTTTCAAACGGATATTCTAATTTTTGAGGGAATTTTACAGGAAGCCGGAGAAACATTATCATTTTTTTTCGAAAATGGCTTCAATTTTTTAAATTAAACTTTGTCTTTAAATAGCGTAAAGGATGCTTAAGAGAATGGTACAAATATCATGTTCGTTGACATCTCTGATTTTCGATAATTACAAAAATGAATTTTTATAGCGTCTCCTTACAAGTATTATATTGAAGATAAAGATTTTTTCCTTGATTAAATCCCTTCTCTAAAGATAGATCTTAAAATAAGGTCACGTTCAATTTTTCGAAAAATGGGCAGTTGTTAGTTAATTTTGCGCGATATACGGGAAATTTTAAATTTTCAAATTTTTTTTTTTTTTTACTAAAAACCGCTACAAATTTTGTATTAAATTTTCTTCTCGTATGAATCAACGCACCGTCAAAATATAATGCTATTCCCATTTTTGGAAAACTCTCCAATTTTGGGAAAATTGCAAAACGTTATACATGGTTTTAGTCACAGTTTCAGGTATTGCTCGGTTATTCGAAAATAAAAAAAGTTTTTAAAAGTACAAAATTGTAGATAGAGATTTTGGACTCAGACAAAAAATTTCATGGACAAAATTACCTCTTAAAAAAGTTATTAACATTTTTTTTTTAAAAAAGAGTAGTTTTTATGAAACTAGCGCATGAATTTCAAAAATTTCTCAAAATCTGCTTCAATTTTTTTCTATAAATTTTCTCCTCGTATGTAATAACGTGCGGTAAAAATATGGTGCAGCTCTCATTTTCGGTTATAGCTTCATTTTTTTCGAATTTTCCAAAACAACGTGAACATTTCAAAACTTATCGAAGTTAAAGATTTTTGTCTTAGACAAAGTCTCTTGAAAAAATCAGCACTAAAAAAATGTCACGTACAACTTTTTGAAAAGAAACGAGTCGATTTCGCGTAATTTGTTCTCGAAATTTGTGCAATTTCTAAAAATATTTTCAAAAATGCCCCAATTACAAAAAGTTAACACTTTCAAATTGAAGAGAGCGCTTCTTGCCTTAAACGAAGTTCCTCCTATAAAGTCAACTCGTTAAAAAAGGTCATGTACAATTTTTTGAAAACTAGTTTTGAGCCAATTAATTTTCACAGAAGTCGAAACTCATAGCGTTTTTAAACTGTAGAAGTAAAGCTCACGTCAAGTTAACTCGGAGGACCTGAGTTCGAGTCTCAGTGTAGACAATTGTGTTTGCTGGTTGATAACACTTTTGCAGCTTTATGTAGTAACATAACACATGGGAACACTTAGAAATAATGCGAGAAAATATGTGCTGTTGAAGCACCACTAGTTGATGCAGCTACCCACTGTTCTGAATCATGCACGCCCCCGGGTGTTGACAGGCGCCCCGCGCGCCGGCTGCCGCCTCCGACGCCTGCTCCTCCGGCGGCCGCGGGGGTCAGCGGCTGCCCGGCGCGTCCCTGCGGGCGCTCGCCTCCGCCCCGCGCGCGGAGCCCAGGCACAGCGCCCGCATCATCAACGGCTTCCCGGTGCGTCCTCGCTATTGCGCTCTACAGCATGATCCTCAGGCGGCGTGTTGCAACGATCGCACTCCCGTAGCTCTTTTCAGCTAATCTAGTTTTAGAGCAGCATAGTGCTTTCTCATTCATTCCTATTTTTTAACAAAATTCTCAAGCTAATAATGTCTAAATATTGATACATAAATGGATCATAATAAAAAAATGAATCCAAAATGATATTCTGGAAGAAGTTACTTTATACCGCAATTAAGTTTTAATAATGCGATTTCTTTGCGATCATTTAATTGCAGTAATGTGCGTCATTATGTCGGGAATTATTTAATGAAGAAATACTTTTTTTCGGGGCCTTTTTGAAGTCTTAGGGGATGCCGTTTTCGGCTATCCGCGCCCAGTACTCACTATGTCCCTCATGGGATCACATAATAACCTTTACACTAAACACACTTGCGGTATCCTCGGTCAGCAGACTCACAAGGCCTTCCGCGACAACACACATACATAAACGACAACAGGCAAAAATGCCTATGGCAAAACTCGAAACGGAGACCTTCCCGACCGACTCGTTGAGTCGGCACACGCTCAAGCCACCTCGGCCACTCTGGTCGACTTAAGATTAACTATATTTAAATCTATAAACTTATTTAAATGCAGATTTATATTCGGCAACTTGATAATCTAACATCTTTAAAACGATGTTTCCTATCTAGGATGCTAATACTTTCACCGCCCACCTTCTAACTTGAGAGTTCCCCGCTGATATGTCCCAGAGTGTACTGAATTGCGCTTGGGCGTGCGCAGGTGCCGGCGCCGACGTTCGTGCCGTACCCCATGGGGCCCGGGGGCTTCGGCCTGCAGACGCTCAAGACGCAACAGCAGCTGTTCTTCTCGCCCGCGGCGTCGATGCCGCAGCTGTGGACGGTGCCCGTGTGCTTCCCGGCGGCGCCGGCCCCGCCCTCGGCGCCCGCGCCCTCCGCCCCGGTGCTCTTCCCACCCGCGGGCAAGGAGCCCGCCGTGCCCA